CTAGTTCGTTACAAGTGGTATCAGAGCGGCTGCCGATGCTGGAAACCACCACAAACTCCGTTCAAAAAAATAAAAATGGTTCTCACTGCAGCTCAGAGATGTGATGCGCTGGATGAACAGATGACCGGAGTGGAAACCCAACTAGAGACGATGGAGGCAACGTTAAAGGCTCAAGAGGAATCTCTCAAGAAATTGCTGGAAGAAGCCGTTCGGCGGAACAGCAAGAAGCCCAGATGACGGTGAACACCACAACACAAGCTCAGTTCTTTGAAGAACTCCGCAATCTCGTAAACCAGAGGAACCAAGAACAAGGAGATGGGAAACCGTTTAACAACGCTATGTGAGGCTGGCAAAACCCAGGCGGTGGAGGAGGCCATCGGTGGAAACCAAGGAAGTTGGAGATGCCACTCTTCGAGGGCTGACGGTTGGATACTTCGGGGTGAGAAGTATTTTCAACACTACCAATTGACGGAGGAACAAAAACTACAGGCCGTCGTGGTAGCCATGGAGGGTGACGCCTTGCGGTAGTTCTAGTGAGAAAACCGTAGGAGGCCGATACCTAACTGGGAGAGTATGAAGGCAGTTCCGACCAACCCACGCCAGAAGTCTCCACGAGCAGTGGTTGGCGGCGAGTCGGGACACCACCATCAACGAATATCGGAAGAAGTTCATCGAACTTTCAGTCCCTTAAGAAGATATACCCGAAACCATTATGTTGGGCCATTTCATTAATTGGCTCAAAGAAGATATTAAGGGCAGAGGTGAGACTAATGAACCGTACAACCTAGAGCAAGCCATGGAAATAGCGGGTCGGGTCAAAGAAAGAAATCTAGTAGGCGGGTTTAAAAAGGGACCCAGCTATTTAGGATCCGGTAAGTCTGTAGCAAGTGGAAGTGGATCCAAGGCGCCACCTGGGGCCGAGCCTCATTAACACATATGGGACTCCAACCCAACAAGCCTCCTCTTTCAAGGGGTGGCATAAAGCTCCCACTGAATCGAATTTTCCCAAAACCACCACCTACTCTACTGCAAAATCCGGCGAACCGCGACGACTGACGAACACCAAGAACGGAAGGCGAAGGGCCTTTGTTTTCGGTGTGATGAAAGATGAGGAGTTGGGCATCAATGCAAGAACAAGGAGTTAAGGTTTTTGTTGCTGGCAGCGCGGAGGACGCCGAAGAAGGGTTCATCCAAGCCGCCGAACTCCGACTCCAGCGATACAGAGGTAGCACCGGAAGTCTCACTCTACTCGGTGGTGGGTCTATCCAACCCCTGAACCATGAAGTTGGAAGGGAAGGTGGGGCCAAAATCGGTGGTTATCCTAGTGGACTTGGGGGCCACTCATAATATCATCTCCGACGTTTCGGTGGTTGAGGTGGGAGTGCCGGTGGTGGGTAATCCAGAATTCGGTGTTTCCCTAGGCAACGACGACCTAATTTGGGGAAAAGGGCGATGCCAAGGGTTGAGGATGGTTCTCAACGACGATTTCGTGGTGGTGGATAATTTTTTACCACTGCAATTGGGTAATGCCGACTTGATATTGGGCATAGAGTGGCTGGAAAAGCTAGGATCAGTCACACACAACTGGAAAACTCATATTATGAGTTTCATGGTGGGGGACCGAAGCATCACTCTAGTGGGAAACCCGGCCTTGGAGCGCACTAAGGTGTCACTCAAGGCCATGATAAGAACCTTGCGCCACGAAGGTGAAGGACTTTGGCTGGAGATTAACCGAGTGGAGGTGGAAGTTGAGGAGAGTACTACGGGAATAGGGGCTGCCATAGTTCCGGAGTGGCTGGAAGGCCTTATGGGGCCGTTTCAGGAGGTATTTTCTAACCCCAAAGGGTTACCAACAAAGCGAGGCCAATAACATGCGATAGTATTAAAAGAGGGCAGCAATCCGGTCAGTGTAAGGCCCTATAGGTACCTCCAATTTCAGAAGGATGAAATGGAAAGGTTGATAAGGGAAATGCTTGAAGCCGGGATAATCAAACCCTCCGTTAGTCCTTTCTCAAGTCCGGTATTGTTGGTTAAGAAAAAGGATGGCTCATGACGTTTCTGCGTCGCCTACCGGGCCTTGAATCGGGAGACTATCCCGGACAAGTACCCCATTCCCATTATTGACGAGCTGCTGGACAAACTTCATGGGGCTGTTGTTTTCTCAAACCTCGATCTTAAGTTGGGTTACCACCAAATTTTGGTAAGGGAAGAGGACACCCACAAGACCGCCTTCCGCACCCATGAAGGCCAGTACGAGTTCTTAGTGGGCCTTAAACGCCCCCGCTACCTTCCAAGCACTCATGAACGAAGTATTCGGCCCCTATTTGCGAGAGACCTCGCTGCTATGGTCATAGTGAAGGGGTTTGATTGGGGAGAACTCAAAAATGAGATTAAGTCCGATGACTTGCTGAGTAAAATCGCAGCAGACGTGGCTAATGGGTAGGGAAATTATGTGGGGTATGCAATAGAGGAAGGTAGGCTGATGTTTAAAGGGAGAGTTGCAATCCCCTAATTTTCGAAATTAATTCCCAAGTTGTTAAAGGAGTACCACGATAGCCCGGTTGGAGGACATCAAGGAAAAACCAAGACTTACTTGCAAATTGCTTCGGAGTGGTAATGGCTTGGGATGAGGAAGGATATTGGGGATCATGTGAAGCAATGCTCAATCTGCGAGCAAGCTAAACATTCGCAATCACAACCGCGGCTGGGTTGCTTCAACCGTTACCCATTCCCGAGGCAATATGGGAAGACATTTCAATGGACTTTATAGAAGGCCTTCCAATTTCTAAAGGCATGAACTCAATTTTGGTAGTGGTTGACGGACTATCTAAATATGCGCACTTCATTGGGTTGAAACATCCCTTTAGTGCGGCGACAGTGGCTGAACATTCATGAAGGAGGTAGTGCGACTACATGGTTTTCCTACCTCCATTGTCTCAGATCGGGACCGGAATTTTATGAGTATATTTTAGCGAGAGTTGTTCAAATTGCAAGGCACGCATCTCAAGCCTACGGCATACCACCCTCAAACCAACGGCCAAACGGAGGTCGTGAACAAAACCTTGGAAACTTATTTGCGATGCTTTGTGAATGGGCGGCCTAAGTCATGGGGAACGTGGCTGCAGTGGGCAGAGTATGCGTACAACACGGCATACCATGCTTCGACCGGATTCACTCCTTTTAGGGTGGTCTATGGAAGAGAACCCCCTAGGTTGATCAAGGTTGGCAAGGGTCAAACCCCGGTGGATAGTTTGGATGAGTGGCTGCAAGAAAGAGATTGGGTGCTTGAAGATTTACACATGAACTTGGTTCGAGCCAAGCAAAGAATGAAGGGGACTGCTGATATGCGAAGGAGAGAGGAAGATTTTTAGCTTGGGGACTTCGTTTATTTGAAGCTCCAACCATATAGGCAAAGGTCTCTCGCTAACAGGCCCAATGAGAAGCTGTCTCCCCGCTTCTATGGCCCATTCAAGATAATCCAACGCATCGGGCATGTGGCGTACAAATTGGAGGTGGCTGACTCTCGTCGTGTCCACCCTGTGTTCCACGTATCGCAACTCGAGAGCGTTGGGAAATCAAGTGGCTAACCCGACTTTACCCACCCAACTGACAAACGAATTGGAGCTCTTGGTGGGGCCGGAATTGGTGTTAAATGTGAGGGACTCTAAGAGTATATCAAAGGTGTTGGAAGTGCTAATTAAGTGGCAAGGACTACCCGCACTTGAAGCTACTTGGGAACAGCCGTGATTGCTGAGCGATTTCCATCCTTTCACCTTGAGGACAAGGTGGTGCTTCTAGGGGGAGGGGATGCAACGAATGCTGGTGGCAGCAAGCATGACAAGCAGAAGGCCGTTATCACATATGCAAGGAGAAGGAAGAAAGGACATGCTATGAAAGAGGAACGAGTAGTGGAGCAGCACCCCATTCAGGAGCAGCCAAAAGACTGATCTGCAGGGCTGCATGCATATCAAATTGCGACAGCTGTAACTTTCTTAATTTTGTCTTATCTCCTCTAGGACTGATGATGTACATATAAAAAGGGGGATCAGGAATTTCTTAGGTAGCCTGAGTATTGTGGTGATCTAGGTCTAGAGAGTGGTGCCCTAAAGACACTAAGGAGATTGGTGGCCTCAAGCCTCCATTGTAAGAAAGTAGCCATCTTTTAGTGAATGAAAAGCTCCCTGATTTCCCTCAATTCTCTGTTTCATTTGCAATCTCGATTATAATAGCTGTTAATATTAACTAGTTCGTTACACAACAATTAAAACATTCAATATGTTTACATGCAATTAAATTACCAGATTATATTCTCTCATTCTCATTTGTTTTCTTTGTTAGGAATTGGGAGAAGAAAGCAATAAAATTATTAACAAAGTGCAAAATTCCACTTAAAATAATGAAATGATACAGCATTCAGTATACTTTGGGATCGTGAAAAATATAAATTATCATATACTTGATTGTTAATTTACTTTGGAATCGTAGTGAAAAATGTAAATAATTATGCATAAAAACCAGAGAATTAAAAGTTAAAGATAAAATAAGGTTATATAGGAAAAACTAAAGATAACCAAGAGCTTAACATTCCTTAATCAATCCCAAATAAAAACGTAACATGGAATTAGTTATCAAATGCTGTCAAACTTGGCAGATTTTTAAGTTAAAGAATTTATGACAATTTTGAGGTACGTTAAAAGGGAGATTTACAGACTAAAAGTTAAGAAACACGGCAAATAGATGCTTCTTCTAATAGTTTCAGCCACCCTTACACTCAAATGAAGTTTTCACAAGTCAATCTTCACTGTAGGCAGTAGCTTGTGAGCTGTCTCAACTCAAGCAGTTGCCTGGCCTCAATGTTTTTAGTTAGACTATATGTGTATGCTTAAGAGATTATAACCAAAAAGACAATGATGTCAATGGGATTCCATTGAAGTCATGTTTTTGTGGTTAACAATAAAATCCTATATATAACCTTCCCTATTTGTAATTTATTATGCTCTTATGGCTCACTTAAACCAAAAAATTATGAGGGTATTGGGTGCAGAACTTATTGGGCAAACTTAGCTAATTTGACCAATATTAGCAGATTGACTACTACAATAAGCTAGATGGAGTTGAATTATGAGGCCGAGCAGTTTATGAAGACAGCTGAAGCAGCTAGATCAGAAGTTCTGAAGGCAATGTCAGACGTAGAACAGACGAAAACAAGCCTTAAAGTGATAGAAATGAGGTGGGTTGTAGCCAAGAAACTCGAGGATGCTGCTAAGGCTGCTGAATCTCTTGCTTTAGCTGAGATCAGGACTTTATCAACCAATGAAAGCATATCATTCAATACTTACAATAATCAGCAAAAACCGGGGAGTAGTCTCTCAGTTGAAGAGTATTCTGCATTAACTGACAAAGCTCAAAAAGCTGAACAGATAGATGCCTTCAGAAGGATTAAAGAAGCATCTGAGGAGAGACTAAGTAAGATGGGATTCAGAAACTCTTTACCTGCACGCCCTCAAAGAGATTCTAGGCTGCTCGATTCAAACGATTACGAGTACACAAGAAACAATAATGATCAATGTAAGCCGGCTGCTAGGCCTGCTACAACTTCAATAGGAGACATTTTGAGCAGGAAACTTGTTCTGAGGGATGATTTAGAGGTTGGCAGGCAGGAAGAAAGTGTTGGTGAGGGCAGGGGAGGAGGAGGGGGAGGGAGGCAAAGGGTGTCATTGAATCAGATGTTCCGACAACATAGAGGAGAATCAACTCCGCCGCCTAAGAGAAGAGATAACAATGGTAATGAAGGAGGGAAGAAATTCTTCTCCAAGAGAAAGGCTCTAGGGTTTGTGCATATTTCACTTCCTATGTCAAAGCAGAGTAAAAATAAGATTCAGAGTTTGAATTTATGGCGAGGGGATGATGAATAGATGAACATTGTTGTTGTGTTTCTTGTACTGAATGACATATTCTTTATCAGCTTGTTTTGTGTTCCTTATTGGTTGTGTGGTGTTTGTTCATGCTACTCATATGCTTACATAAGTATGATGTATGTGAAGGGGTTGCTCTATCTGATTTGTACTTGTATCTGGAGTGTGAACAGATATCAGTCCTGTGTTATTTATGCCTGTATAACCGTTGCTCGAGTCAAATATCAGCTGTTTATTTTCTCAAGAATTAGTTGTGTCAGTGTTCCAATATCTCGTAATTAAAGATATGACATGATTTTAGTACTCGAAGAAAACTTAAATACTCTTTCTAACCGCTACTCAAACAACTATGACCAATCAGACAATCAGTTAGTCAAATCAGTTAACACAGTCTACTAACACGATCAGCTATGTTTTCACTAAACACGGCCTATCTAAATTAATGATGATTTGAACAAAACACAATTTCTAACTACCGCCCCAATCACCATCCACATGACACATAATTAAAGAGCAGATTCAGCTTATTTAGCATTGTAAATTCAAGTGGTAGCAGAAAAATTTGAATAATTGTCTTATTAATAGAAAACTAAATCTTGACAGTCAAACACCATACTCTTTCATTGACTTTGAAAAACATCTGAATCTTTCAACCAGCCCAACCACAATAGCTCACAAAATTCTTTTCCAGAAAAACTATACTCGATAATTCTCAAATCAACCAAACATTTCAATTGACAAAAATATTCAGGCTAAATAAATAGTTAAAAAGGGTTACCTGTTTAAAAGTGAGGCAGCTTTGGACCAGACAAATAAGATGGTGATCAACAGCAGCAAAATACTAGAAATGAGAGATAACAGAGTATACCCAGATTCCTCAAATACCAACCAAATTATTAATGTTAGTATTAATATTCCCATTGTAATGTTTCTTTGCCTCCATAACACCACATCAGCTACTGCTTAGCAAAAAAAAAAAGAAAAAAACCACACACACACACACACACACACAAATAAGTATTAAATGCAAAATAAGTTAAAATTTCAAGAAAAAAAATGAATTTGTATTTTACCAAATGCGCCTCCGAAAATCTCATGAATAGTTCGCTGCCTATTAAACAATCGACCTGAAGATGATCCCATGATGAAGTTTTAAGAAATTAAATTTGCGGATTTCAGAGTTGAATCAATTTGTAAATAATTACAGTATAAATTGTTTCATTGATTAAAGTTTTTTTGTGTGATGGAATATATTTCACAAGGAAGAAAGTATTTGATGTAAATTTGGTAGGTGGGCAAGAATGCTAAAAAGAAAGATGAAATTTACAGCCTAAAAGGGAGCTTGAAAAATGGAAGAAAGAGGAGAAGATTGGAAATTTAGCAGTTGGGTTAAGGTACATACACTTTAGTTAGGCCCAGTGTTGGACTTTATCGGGGTATAATTGAGAGATTAGCTGGAATACCGTCATCCCTATTGCCGGTGATTTTTTGTCCCCACCTGTCCCTATTTGGATGACCAAGCGGATTAACACCACGCTTGTTGCCTCTGTGTAGACTGTCGTAATGTTATTGCTTGAAATTTACTTGCTCCGTATTTATTTATTTATTTTATAACTAATGGATTAAATGTTACTCTCTCTGTTTTGTAATTATTATAATACGAAGTAATGAATTTTGTACAAAGTTTTAAGAAATATAGGGTAAATAGTAGTAGACTTTTATCAAATTAGAAAGTATTGTAACTACAATTAAACAAATTATAAGATAAATGTTTTACGTTAGTTACTAAACAGAAGGAGTTGAACACTACCTCCGTTTCTTGTTATTTGCCATAAAGGGGTATTATTTGTTGCAAATAATAAAAAACGGAGGTAGTAATAGTTATGTTTCCGCACAAAGAAGTGTGATAGTCAAGGTCATACAAAGGTTTTTTTTTTTTTTTTCTTTTTGAACACAAGGTCATACAAAGTTGTTAATTTTTAAATATTAAAATAATAAAATTAATCTATAATACAAAAATCATAATCTATAAATAACAATTAACAGAACACGTCATTAGGAATTGTCCGACAATTTAACATGTAAAAAAACATTCACAAAGCACTTATTACGTGACAAGTGATGCATAGGAATCTAATGCCACCCTTGGCCAAACGTCATGGCCAGGTCGTAAGGTTTTTTTCTTTTTTGATAAGCAAGAATATTATAAATTAAAATCTGCTAAAAGTACAAGAAGCTATGGGTGAAACCCATATAAACAAATTCCGAGCAACCACAAGTATCCCACCTTGCTACTAGGTGGGCTAATGTGTTACCTACCCTTCTAACATGAGAAAAAAAAAAGTATTAAAACACTTAGATAACATGCCAATATCATCATAAACTAACCAAATTGGAGAGCAATCTCTAAAACCGTTGCTGATTACAGCACACACAAAAGAGGAATCATCTTCCAGCCATACTTGCGTTACACCCAGGCGCTTAGCCACCGAGGGCCCAAAAGGCGCAGCTACCGCCTCTGCACACTCCACCTCCTACACACCCTCAACTTTTCTAACTGCACCACCGACGAACTCCTCCCGATGGTTTCTTGCCACTGCCCCCTACCCCATATAGGAAGTAGTTACATGAGCATCCACATTTACTTTTATAAAGCCTTCTAAAGGACGTTGCCACGCTGTTAAAGAGAGACTTGCACTTCAAGGTTGGTCGGAAAACACATTGGCAAACATACAATAGTGCTCAACAAGCTTTACATAGTTGGCAATCGTTTGAGAAGCGTTTAGAGACACAACCTTCATGAACCATCTTGTTTTTATAAAACCAAAGGGACCATGCCATGGCATATATATAACACACGTAACTCATCATGATCTAGTTTACCTGCAAGTCATACAAGCTTTGAGCAAAAAGATGAGTTCAGAGAATCATTCAAAGTAAACCGAAAGTGGCTATTATTCTAGACATCGTTTGCTACATGGCAGTCAAAAAGCACATGAGTGACAGATTCAACTCCACTAGCACACACCCCACATAAATCATCCCCCGTTATATGCCTTCGAAAGAGCCAAGTCGTAAGATTTGTCTTTCTTAAATTGGTGCTTATGGGTTAATTTAAACTTTTTTTCTTTCTCGCTTAATGATCATCCTTACCAATGGATATTGATTTGGGTAAAAATACCCGGGTCACGTAGCCCTATCAGAAGGTGACACGTGTCACCCTAGGAGAGGTCCAAAAAGGACCAATCACCAGTTAACATGTGGCATCCCTAATTAGCAAGGAAAAAGACGACCTTCAGGGCCCAATTCCTGAGAAAGCCGCAAAGCGACGCAGTCCACCAATCTAGGTCAAAATGACCTAAGGGCACATTTACCAATGACCCTATAAATAGGGAAATTTACCCAATTTTTTGGGGCACAATCATTTATTACAACACAATTGCTTCTCTCAAATCAGAGAAAACACTTGATCTCGGGATCCGAAAAGATCTACTTTTACTTTCCGCACTTTTTACCTTTCCTCGACCGGTTCTAACTTGATCGTCGGAGGCGGAACTGCTACCAACAGGAGCTTCCGTTGTTTTGCAGGTACAGCTGGTAGGGAATCCAGTTTTGGTGACGTAACTCTCCCATAGGACACAAAAAACCCCGAAACATTTTGGCGCCATCTGTGGGGAGAGTACCTCTAAGATGGTTTCTCAAGAGACTGTACCGCCTCCTATAGAAAAGGAGCCTATGGCTAAGGTCTTTTTCGACCATGATACGGATGAAGATCTAGAGGTTGAAACATATAAGGCCATAGATGGATCCCTCATTACCAAGCGCATCCGTTCCAAAGACAACAAGGAGTGGGGCGATGGTCAGGCGGGTCCGAGAAAGTCATCCGACCAGCCTCAGGTGGCAGGACAGTCTGCTCACATCACTCGAGACGAGTTCATGAAATTCATGACAAGTTTCAAGGGAATGATGAAAGACCTGATCTCTAAGAGGACGGCCGATCCCAGCAAGGGTCAGTCGACCAAGAAGCTCTCTCGCTCTGAGAAGGCTAAGTCGGTTAAGGACAAGGAGCCCACTCCGCACCCAAAAACAAAGGAAGGGACCCGACCTTTAATTGATTGGACCAAGTTCCGCTTCCCCGAGCCAGGGAAGAGGAAGGCCATCCAGCATACATAGTTGGATTGCAACAAGAAGACTATCTCTTATGCTCGACTTTTTATTGAGCAAAGGAGAAACCAGCAACTGTCTGACTCGGCGGACTTTCCCGGACAGCTTCAAGAATACCTTGATAAGGTATTCACAATCTACACAGGAGAGCCTGTCAGGCAGCCCGACTGTCCATACATGTCCTTAGATGATAGGGTCACACCCGTATGTGCCCCAGCAGCCATACAGGTCGTTTGACCAGCCTTACTTGCAGCCTGCCCTCTTTGGGGGTCAAGCGGCATATAACTTCTAGCCACTGGACTAGTAGCTCTGTCTACTAAAACTTGGAGAACAACCTTTTGCGTTCTCCAAGGAGATAACCGAGGCGGCACAGCTGGCCAAGGTTAAGAATGTCATGATGGGTACTTATGATGGTACCACCAACCTAGAAGACCACCTGTTTGCATACACCCACCTCATGTACTTGTAGGGGTTAGATGATGTCGCATGGTGCAGGTGTTTCTTAGCCACGTTGAAGGGCATTTCCCAGCAGTGGTGCGTCAATTTGCCGGCTGGGTGCATCAACAAGTTTAGGATTCTTGCGTTCTTGTTGCCTCAAACTTCTCCATGAACATACCCGCCAAAAAGACAAGCCTTGACTTGGGCACGGTACAACAGGGAGACAGGGAGGGGCTCCGTTCACACGTCAGGCGGTTCAATCTGGTGAGAATCCAGATCCAAGGACTGTCTAACGATGTTACTTACACAGACTTGTTCCAGGGTCTGAAAGACGGGTCGACTTTCAAGTTTGATCTCATCCAGAAGAGAATCTCAACTCTTTTAAAGGCGCTGATGGAGGCGGAAGCCTATATACAGGCGACCGAGCTCTGCTCCACTGGCAAGAAATCGGACTCAAAGAAGTCTGACAAACAAAAAGGGAGTCTGCGAGAACAGCTGGCTCAGAAAGCTGAAGAGAGAAAGAAGAGAAAGGAAGTTGAGGACCCTGAACAGCCGTCCTAGAAGAAAAAGAAAGAGTTTAAACCGTACGTCCTAAGGTACGAGTTTAACAAGGACTGCTACTCCATTCTCATGGAGATAAAAGACCGGGTGACTATTGAAAAGCCCACAGCCATGAAGGGTTCCGCCAAAAATTGGAACGAAAGACAAGTATTGCCATTTCCATGAGGATATTGGCCATGACACCAATGACTGCTACAGCCGCAAGCGATTTTTAGATAGATTGGCTGATAAGGGGGTGTTGAATTCTTACATCCTCAAGTCCAAGGTGACCCTGAAGACGGACCCCAGACAACCGTAAAAAAATCCACCAAAACCTACTAGTAGTTCTGACACCGATAAAGAGTCGATCTACACCATAGCAGGCGGCTTTGCTGGTGGGGCCCAACTATTAGAGGTGTTTCGGTGTTTTTGGTGTCCCTCGGGAGAGTTACAATAACCCTTGATCAGTGACGAATGCCGTCTTCTCTTGATCGTTTTTCCACAAGGGTATTTGATGGAAGCCTGAGTAGGCGTCCATGAAGCTCATCAAGGCATGAGCGGCTGTAGAGTCGACCAGACTGTCGATCTTTGGAAGTGGATAGCTATCCTTCGGACATGCCTTGTTCAAAT